AATGGTTCTTAGCGTTCTTGTTTTCTTTTCCAGGTGCGACGGGCACTGGACAGGAAACAAACGAAGCACGGAATCCAACGAAAAACAACAACCAGGAAGCTATGTACAAACACCCTATTAGCATAGGCAGACAAACCAGTAGACATACAACCAAGCCGCTCGGAAGATTTTTTCACCCGAAAGGGAACCATCGAGTTTTTTTACTTCCGGCTGGTTCTGTCTTAGGGTACTCACGACCCCACTAGGGGGGAGTGAGCTGTAGCGGTAAATAATTCCCCAAAATTATTGACCACAGCAATCACTCATTGGATGCTGACCACCACTGTTTAAGTCGACTTGTTTAGCTGAAGGCTTCCGGTCAAGCATCCCCGCCATTTGGTACCCTGTCGTGTCACGTGCACGATCACTAGCTAGCTAAGCGTTCGTCTAACGGCTTGTTTTGGTTCCTAAATATATCTCTTGGTTTGAACGATCAAATATTGGCTTTTGCTTTGTTGTTGGTACGCGAGAATAAATTAATTAGAAGTTGCTGAACGAGATATCCGTCAAACCCTAAAGATATTTAGACTTTAATTCATTTCATCCGTTAACTGTTAAGGCAGGCTTAGTGAAGTGTGTAACAATCCGAGCCATAGCACTAAGTAGCACAAAAAAGACCTAAAGAATGAAATAAAATGTAGAAGAGGCGTTGGTGTTAAATAACTATCCTTTGAAAATTCACTAGGAAGAGTGATAAAGGCCAAAAGAAAAAGAAAAATAATTGTGAAATTAGTAATAATAACACAAATAAGAAAGAATATAAGTCATCCACTGTTATACCATATAAGGAAAGCACATCTGAGGCCCTACGTAGGATTCTTAATAAAGCAGGAATTAGGGTGGCATTCAAACCTACAAACTCACTCAGGGACAAGCTCTGTAGGCTAAAAGACTCGGTTGATCCAATTAAACAAAATAATATAATTTACAAAATACCCTGCAATAACTGTGAGGTCAACTACATAGGTCAAACTAGTAGGTCAGGCGTAGTCAGATTGTCAGAACATAAGAATTTAGCTAGGGTAAGAATGGTTGACCCTGAAAAGATAAGTAATTTAGAAAAAACTCAGCAATTGCAATGCATGCATTAACACACAACCGCACAATAGTGTGGAAGAGGATTAAAATTCCTAAAGGTAATCTAGGTAGGTGGAGAGAGAGGTTGATTACTAAATCCTGGTTCATTGAGTCTACACCCAACACATGCAACAGTAATGATTCATCACTCATACTGGAAATATGAAAATACTACTAACAATCAAACCAAGTGAAAATCAAGTGAAAAACAATGGAACTATATAAATGGAGTTAGGAAGTCTTGTAATTACCTTCGTATGATTATGAGCAATAAATTGTGCTCGAAACGTGGTCATCAGTAAACATTACTGTATAACACTGTGAGACTTTATCAAAACAAAATTTTCCCATAATGGAATTACACTCTACCACAGTGCACAAGTTTTATTCTCATATCACTGCTAGGTCACGAAAATGCCCCTTACGATCCAACCCGACTGAATGCTTGTCTTGATCTTGTACTTATAATTGACTGCGGAATATACGAAGTTCGTAAAAGAGCCCCACTGTTTAACTCAGATCAGTGTATTTTACGGGTTTCGCACAAAATTTATGGGAACTTACACGAGAGAACCCTTTCACTCTCTTCCAAGAAAATTGCACACAGATGTCACTCTAAGGAGAATGTTCAGAATCTCAGGAGCATGCTCAAAGAAACAAAGTGAGAGTTTTTTATGAAGACTCGCTTGATGACACAGTCTCCAATATTAAATGTTATCTCAAAACTTGTCTTGAAACCGGTTGTACTGGAGGAACACTCTTCATAACACTTGACTATTTCTCCTTCTGTCAACATAAAAACCTACGCAGGCAAAGAGAAAAGTTATATAAAATGAAAGACACCTGTCAGTGCAGTTGCAGATTGAACGATTAATTCATGGTTGTTTGCTCAAACCCAACTCCATATTTTTGCGGGAGTCATCAACACGGCAGTCGTCGCCTCATCGTTCGCTGTTCGTTAGGAGAGAGAAAACTACCAGATGTATTATTGCGATTTATTGTTATAACATTTATTCTTAGACTTTGTGTACAATAACTTAATGGTTGGCTCTGTATTGGTGCAAGAATAAACTGTTCTTGAGTCACCAGTTTGCGTTCTGGTCTTTCCTGTTAGTTATTATGCGTAGTTTCTGAAAGTCTTCCGAGGACAGCGTGAGGTCCAGTGTAGTAAGACCTGGACGTTGACAGTTTCTGATAGTTTCCGTTCGTCTTTCCTAGTGTCTGCCCGCCTTCTTTGGACAAATGTTATATGGAACTTTTTTGGATTGTTTGGTCAATTTCAGTAATGACAGGGTCAAAGAAAGTACAAAGCGCTTTGGAAGCGGACAGGAAAGTAATTAATGCACGTGATAGGTAATGATGTGTGTGATGTTAAGCATGATAAGACTTATGTCCATGTTTTGGGGTTTAGGGATAAAAGAAATATTAAAATACCTGAATATGAACCTCGGTGTTTCGACGGAAACCCAGCTGACTATCTACAGTTTGTAAAGGAGTTTGAGATCATGTTGAGTGGTTTTTTATTAAATGATGAAATGAGGTTCATGTATTTGATGAGATGCTGCACTGGGGTTGCTTCAAGAGCTATACAGTGCTGTAAGGTTATGCCGCCAAACGAAGGACATACTGAGGCGACGCATATCCTGCGTCAAAGATTCGGAAGACCCTCGATGATTGTAAACAAATTATTTGAGGCTGTTAAGGGTAATGGTAGTCAATTACAAGATGACTCCAAGGTGCTATCTGGGTATCTGGATAATCTGATGACTTACAAGAATACGTTGGTTTCGATGAATTGCATGAGTGATCTGAACTCAAGTTCCGTCATAGAGGTAATAGCGAGACGCCTACCTACTCGACTGCAAAGAAAGTGGGTGAAGATAAGCTCTCCTACAGAGGATGAAAGCTTAGAGCCAGGGTTTGATGATATTCTGAAACTGGTAAAAGATAGTGTCAATCAATGTACGAGCAAGTTTGCCAGTATATTGCATCTCACACCTAGAATACAGAAGTTGAGAGGGAAACGCAATCATTTTTGACGAAGGAGTGTCCGAGAAGCGGATATCGAGAAGACTCTATGGTGTCTAGTAATCCGTATAAACTTAGTGCGTGTAACAGCTTTCGTGGGACGTCCCCGACATATGGGTTACAAGTTGCGAAACAAACACGGTTGTGTTTTACACGTTTGCAAGAGGTGCATACAAAGGCAAACTGTGAATCAGTGAGCAAGTTTAGTGATAAGCTAAATGTGAAATCAAGGTCTGACTCCGAATTGTGCGACGATAACGGTGTGGTCAAGAATCCTGTAGTTGCAACTGGTAAGCCATTGTTGAATTGAGTGTTACAGAAGACAGTTACATTTTCAGAGGACAGTTCTGACTCCACAAGTTTTCAAGGTATTATTAGATAGAGTGAAGATATAAAAAATTTAGGGAAGTAGAATTAAAGGCAGATGCAGTTGCAGAAGGCATGCATACTTGTCAAACCGTCAGTGTAATTGATCAGCGTGTAGCTCACCTATTATCAGATGCTAGTGCTAAACTGGAGCTGATAGTAAAAGACAGCAGTGTTGGTAGTCCTGCCGTTAGACAACTTTCTGAAAGCCGAGCAACAACAGCTTCTGATCCACTGCTAAGTTCATCAACTGGTATCAATCAGTTGTCGTTGGTGTTGCCATCCACAATAAAAAGGACGCCCATCAACTCAAGTGTCTAGTGCAATGATTATGATAGTGTAACAACAGAAGACAAGGGCCAGGCAACAGATCTTTTTATTATGAAAATCAACACGTATTTATATATATTTCACATACATTATTACAGCTTATGCAAGTAGACTAGCGCAGTCATCTGATTGGTTGTTTATCAGAAGTTAGGCAGACAAACTCAGGCTTCGGATTGGTTGTTTAGGGATTCCTCGACAAATAGAGTTCTCTATCTGCGAATCATATTTTGCCACGTTAACTTTGCTGTGATTGGTTGTTAAATCAGCCTTGTACATATTTTCTCACAGCCTGCTCTCACCACAATAGTATTGGTGCATTTGAAAAGACGAAAGATATTGACCAGTTTAGTGAGGATAAACCAAGTGTGTACGAGAGGGCAAATGTTAAATTGACTTGCATGAATAAAGGCATTTCTAGTTTCAAGTTACTATTTGAATGTTATTATCTTTGGTGTAAATTACTTTGTGTCTACGCTTGGTTGACCAGATACGTCGTGTGTTTGTTAGTCATCTATATTCTACGATACAATGGCATGGGCGTGTTGGTTCCAGATTTGAGTATATAGCTGATAGAAGGAAGTCAGCAAATGAACTCTGCGACGATTTTCCAACCTAAAGCGTCAACCTGAGAAGGGTTGTAGGCGTACTGCTGTAAGTCCTACAATTCTTCAAAGGGTAGCGCATCAATGAGCAGTCTAATGTGCTTGGTGTGTTATTTTGTACATATATTCATGTTGTGTATACTGAATTGGTATCACTTTTCATCTATCTGTGGGTAATTCTGTTTGTGTCCGGACGACTTCCACTTGTATCATCAACCTGAGAAGGAATGTAGGCGTACTGCAGTACGTCCTACGGGTCCACATGAGGAAATTAAGAAGCCTGTAGATACAATAATGAATAAGGTAAAGAAATCTACAGCGGAATTAATACGGAGAATGAAGCCGTCACTGGGTGAGTCTAAATGGTTTACTTTAATGCCTAAAACTAATAATACTAGTAGAATATATGGTACTATTAAAATACATAAACCAGGTTACCCCATAAGACCAATAGTAGATTTTAGAAATACTCCCACTTATGAATTATCAAAACATTTAGCTCTAATACTTTGTCCCATTAGAAATCGCTCAAACTCTAGACTAACTAATTCATATGAGATGAAAAGTAAGCTAAATGACATTCAACTAGAGAATGATGAAAAAATGGTTAGTTTTGATATAACTAGTCTTTACACTAATATACCAGTCATTATGGCCTTAGAAGCAGTTAAAAAGAATTAACTGCGGATCCGGAACTGAATCATAGGACAAAGCTGCCCATTGAACAAATTATGTTAGGGATTCATTTATGTCTCACATCTCTGATCGGACGTTACAATCTCTCCCCATAACGTGGATATATTTTTGTCGATTTCTGGAATATTGTAGTGGATATTATACCACTGCTCAACTATAACTTATATTGGCTGCTACTCTAGCTTCCAATTCTGCAGATATATCACCGCCAGTTATCAAGTTTGGATCCACTCTTTCGCAGGGCTCATCCTCCTTATTGTAACTTTAGAACAACGTCACACAAAAGAAAACTGTAGAGAAGTTCATCATTTTTTGGTTTACATACCAGGATCAATTTACAGGATAATTGGTTTCTATATACTCTGTATTTTACTTTTTAGTACTTTGTAAATTTATTGTTTATTTATAAGCAATAAAATTCCATACGGTATCCATAGTAGTACTTAATCTGTATATCCACTCGATATACTATTTTCCCATATACCCGTTTTCGATTTAGCTCGGCTTTAACTTTAAACCATATTGATTAGTTTTCAGCAATGGCACAACGTAATAAACGAGTACTTTCCATACGTAAGAATAGTTTGGGTCACTCAGCTAAGAAGATACGTACATCACTGTGCGTTCCGCGTAGCCTCAACAATGTCCCCGAAGTCATTGTTCCCGACTTGTTGTCAGAGGTGTATGCAACTGCTGAACAAAATAAGTTGGACCTTATATCTCTAGGAAACTCTGTGAAGGAATTAAATGAGAATATAAACACCATTAAGCCACTACTGCTTCTTTGTAACCCAACTCATAGTGCTAATCCGGAAAGTCTGCTGAAATCTGAGCGTATGTTAGACTTTACAACGTTCTCGCTTACAATCTGCCTGATCGGACGCCTCTGGACAAAATCAAAGTGACATGTCTCCAAGCGTGTGGCATGTCATCAGCGAATTGCCACCTAATCAGACTCAGGAAAAAAGCAGGAAAGTATACTTGCCCTGTGCTGTTTAAATTCAGTAGTCCTAATGATGCTAGGAAATTTCAGTCGTCAAATAAGTTAATTAGTTCATCCACACCTTATGGTAATATTAAACTTGCCCATGACCTAACGCCATGTCAAAGACGTAGCCGCGCAAGTGTACCAAGTATCGCAAAAACTTACGTAACAGCAGAATGTCCTATAGAAGACTCTGTCGCCTTAAACTTGAGTAAACCTAATGGTACAGACATACATGAAATACTCTTAAATAATAAAAATTTACCTAGTAAACTCAACGATGAAGCAACTACGGTCATAGACTTAGATGCATCTTCAGAGTTATGCTCGCTAGCCACATCACCATCAGCCGCTAATACCACTACCAACGTTAAGCAAAAGACTAAGCTCGAGCATGTAGCATTAAGCATATCCTCCCCGAGCAGCACTCAGATTAGTGAGCATACAAAACGAAGTAAAATAACCCTGCCATCCAGAATACCTGTACTCAAACACATCACTGATAGGTTTCTCAGCAGCGAACCAGATAACATTAACTTAAGCGACCCCAATCAAACCACTAAACCAGGGAAGCAGAATAAGCCCTCATACCGCCATAAATCTAACGTCAATGAAAAGAGAGGTAACCCGCCGATTCATCCAACATCGAACAAGTCTTCGTCCGATAGACACAACAGACGCTATATGTCTGGGCACCCTAAAAATAAGTCGAAGCCCGACGGGCAGGCATACACCTACCCCGACACAACTTTCCAATCTATGGCTACTATAGACAAAAGTTTGATCCAGGGACCTCTACAACAAGGAACAAGTGCGCTAGGCATGTTTCCTAAAGGTGGCCTTTTGACTCACCACATCCCCGAAAACCATCGCATACAGACCACCCAAGACCGTCAATGGACTAATATTTACGAAAATAACTTAAACACACAAAATATTAGTCATAACTGCGATACACGTAACTCTACCCCAGCATACTATCCACAAGGAATACCTACCTCCCCCCCATCCAATCTAAATTTTCTCAGCCAACACGAAATTTCAGCCTCAATATTGACGCAAATAGCACACATACTGTCAAGCCACTTATCACCGGATGGGAGGGCGATGCATTGGAGGCACGGTATTATGAACACCTCACACCCGCCGGGGTAACAAACGATGGCACATCTCTCTGTGCTGATACTGGTGTAGGGCACTTTTCCAGCACTGCTAGTAAGTGGCCACCATCTGAGTTAGCACCCATCAAACAATCTGTTCTAGACGCCATAAACCTTGGAGAGAATATTTTTAAAGATATATGCGATTTCACCGTCACCCCTAACTCTCTCTCATTCTGTCTTATCAATGCTCGCTCCTTACTCAACAAAATGTTCGACTTCACGACATTATCCCTAATTTGCAATCCGTCTCTCATAATGATTACTGAGACATGGTGCACTCCTCAGATTTGCGATAAAGATATTTCTATTGATAACTATTATGTATTCAGAGGCGACAGAAACTATGGTAGAGGAGGAGGATGTGCTATGTATATCAGGTCTGATATTAAGGCCACACAGTGCTTCTACCCAGAGCTCATCACAGATAACGATTCAGTGTGGGCTATTCTAAGACTGTCTCACTCCAGTTCCTATCTTATAGGTTGCATCTATCACCCCCCGTGCTCAACCGTTGAAGGTAATATGAAGCTTGCTAGCACGTTCGCTTACGCCACTTCACTACCTCACACGGCTAAAATTATATGTGGGGACTTTAATATGCCCGATGTAGTCTGGCAACCACTTTCCTCACCAAAACGGTACAATGAATTTATCAACATAATAGAAACAAAAGAATGGCAACAACACGTACAGTATCCTACCAGGCTATCTAAGATTTTAGATCTAGTTTTCACTAATGGTATCATCCCCACTACCCTTCGAGTAGGTAAAGAGTTTCCTGGCAGCGACCACAGAGTAGTATTCGGTACATTTAATATTTGCACTAGCATGAGTTCGACAATAAACGCCAACAAAGTATTACTCAGGGGTTACAGACATGCTCAGTGGGATGAACTGAAACCATACATACGCACCCTAGACTGGGAGCCATACTTTACGTGCAGCTCGGCTATAGAGACAAACAAATTACTCTATGAGAACCTAGGATTTGCACATGACTTCATCGCTCCAGTAAGACTTGTGAAAACGAGGCCTAAACAGCCCGACTTCATCCCCGTAAAGATTCGAAACCGACTGCGTAAGCATGCTAGGCAATTCTACAGATATAATGACTTTTCATCACTCATTACACTCAAGCAAACTTATGATTCATACAAATCTAATCAGTTATCTGAGTCCATCAAACTAGAACGCATCCTCCACTCACGACCTGATAATACAGAGGCATTAGTTAAACTAATTAAGTCACGAATCAACAACAACAGAATAAGTATCCCTAACTTATTACTAGATGGAGAAAAACTACACGAAGACCCGCAGGAGATATGTGAGTTATTCAGCTCCCACTTTTCTAGCTACTATACTATCGAAGAAACAGTAGATAGTCTTGAAGTTCCGACAATACCAAATCACTTTTTGGGTAATATAACATTCACCCAACAAAAGATTTCCTCCGCTATAGCATCCCTCCGGACATCATATAACGCTGGGCCCGATGGAATTCCATCTATCTTGTTGAAAAGAGGTGGTGAGGATATACCCATTATCCTACTAAAGTTTTTCATTCTGTCCTTAAATAATGGCAGTTACCCAGAATGCTGGAAACTGTCGTTTATAACCCCTAGGCACAAACAAGGACCAACTTCTAACATCGAAAACTACCGACCGATTAATATCACGTCAGTAGTTTCCAGGGTTATGGAAAAGGTTATAGGGCAAGATATTGCTTCATACCTCCACCTTCACAAAGTGTTTACTCCAGCACAACACGGCTTCTTGAAAAATCGATCATGCTCCACCTGCCTACTTGACTACTTTGATGATGTTACCGCTAAGCGTGATCATGGTTTGTATGTCACAACTCTCTTCTTTGACTTCAAAAAAGCCTTTGATAAAGTCCCACACAAGAGACTAATCCTTAAGCTAAAGTCGTACGGGTTCCAAGACCCCTTGTTATCCTGGCTCATTTCTTTCTTGGAAGATCGTTCCCAAGTTGTGAAATTTGCAAATAATTACTCGTCACCCAGACCTATAAGAAGTGGAGTGATTCAGGGTAGTGTACTAGGTCCACTGCTTTTCGTAATCTACATTAACGACATCTGCAGCGTAATCAAGCATGGTACCCCATACCTCTTTGCTGACGACTTAAAGATTGTATACAGCTTCCCCCATTCTACACTAAACGAAGGATTCACACATATTCAAGATGATCTGGATAGGTTACATAACTGGAGCAATGACTGGCAACTGCCATTCAATTCTGATAAATGTGGTGTCCTATATTTCAATAACTCCCATCCGAATTTCAGGTTACACCTAGGTAACTCTTTTCTCCAAACCCTCAGTTCCATAAAAGACCTGGGAGTTACCTACTCACAAAACTTAACATTCAGTCAGTACGCAAAAGCACTTGTTTCTAAATGCCGAAGACTCACAGGCTTGTTACATCGAAAAATGTACACAAATGAGGCTAAAGTCCTTTTATACAAAGTCATGGTTCGTCCAGTACTTGAATACTGCACAATTGTCTTCGGTTTCATGCATGGGTATGACAGGGTTCGTATTGAAAATATTCAGCGAAGTTTTACTCGACGCCTATTATACAAACATGAAGGACTGACTTACGCTGATAGGTGCAAAATGTATGGACTTCAGCCACTTTGGTTAAGGCGCCTGAAACTCAACCTTACATTCCTCTTTCGCCTTTTACACGGCTACACC